GCTGATAGGTAGTCTGAGGTATCTGGTACCAAGCGCTCACCAACTGGTCCTGCAATTCCCTCATATTGCGAGGGGGTAGCGTGGTAGTACGAATTTGGTTTTCCAAGTAGGACCACAAATGCTCGATTGGATTAAGGTCAGGTGAATTTGGGGGCCAAGACATGACTTGAAAGTCACTAGAATGTTCCTCGACGATTCGACCCTTATGACATGGTGCATTATCCTGTTGGTAAACACCATCTCCCGCAGGAAAAACTGTTGCCATGAATGGGTGAACCTGGTCCGCAACTATGTTCAAGTAGCTTACAGACGTCAGGGATTGTTCTATGAGGATTCGCCAATAGCCCATTGTGCAGCTCTAGTGCGACGTAAATTAGCAACAACAACAATGTTCTATGAGGATTATGGGTCCTAATGTGCCCCATGAAAACATTGTTCCTGGGCAAGAAACCATGAAAACCTGGGCGAGCCATTGTACATAATGTAATGGCTCTTCGGTGTATATATATATACATCAGCCACTAAAAATAAAATTTAATTGCTTCTAAAGACTGGTAGAAAAATAATCTTGTGCTGCTCTATGCACAATTTATTTTATTATGAAAAATTGAAAATGCATTGGTAATTTAAAGGATTAACTCTCAATCAATGGTCGGAAAAACTGCATTATTTTTGCCGTTTACTACAACTATTTTGTTACAAATGTAGTTAACTACAACTACTTAGGGCCCGACTTAGCCTAATTGGGGCCCGGTGCAAAAACTTCTTTGGGGGGACTCTCTGCTTCACTACTTCAGTAATGGGGAACCGAACATTATGCAGGTATTTAAATTTTTCACCTCATTATTGATATATAATAAGAAAATTGACTCGAACCTAAAATAGTTATAAAGCCCCCCCCCCCCCATCAAGAGTCTGACGAAATATCGTTCTGTCCATTTTACTGATATTCTAACAATTCTATGTCCATCATTAGAAGGATATATTACACCTGAAGAGCCAAAATTTGACAAAAATTTAATTTTTTCTTTAAATTAATTGAATTAAAGAAGTATGAAACGGTCAAGAATGGGATAACTGATTATTAACTTTGCCATCTATCTGCGAAAAATTTATATCCTTGCTGACATTACGGCGGAATTCAGCTAAATTTCAGCAATTATGATGGCTCGATTAAGCCAATCAGAAGCCCGTATTTCTGTAAACATATCACATTTTGCGATATGTAAAAATAAAGGCTTTTGTTTGGCCAAATTTGTCCATCGTAACCGAGAAAATCTAGCTGAATTCCGCCCTAGAAAGCCATGGATTTACAAAATATAGATTTTTTTGTGTTCATACGATAGATTAATGAAGAAGCTAACATAAAACGGATTTTACACTGCACTTATATTTCGTTTAAGAAAGGTCATTAAACGTAAAATAAGCTTTCTATTTGATTTAGGGCCCCCATCTAATGAGGGGGCCCGAGGCAACAACCCCGTATGCCCCTTCCTTAGTCAGACTCTGCAACTACTTTTTTCTTTTTTTTTAATGAAGTGACTACAAACTTCATTGGAATTGCAAGGAGACGAACTTACATTAATTGTAAGGGAACTATTAAGAAATATTTATTCATGTTTACATGAGCCAATTTGTTATTCCAAAACACTTTTTTTTCGAATTTGTAAATTTGATCTTCAACTTTTTCTGCTTTTCTCGACAGCGAATATTTAATTTATGAAAGCGAAATAATTAAATACTTGAAATTTTTTGATAGTACAATAATTTTTTTTTATTTATTTCCTCTAAAAAACTAAGTACTACATCGAAAACACGTTCCCTTCCTTTTAAATAACATCAATGTTTCACTAGTGTACATTCACATGTGAAAGTGTGACCAATGTGATTAATTTTCGATTTTTCGTAATGGCTAGTTTAAATATTAGTTATGCGTGATTCTTATTATGTAAGGGAGAGGGGGGCACATGTGAACATGGTATGTTTTACCAATATGATTTGAAATAAAAAATCTCGAAAATTTTTCAATTGATGGCAGTACTAGTCCTACCTCTCTGAGAAACTTTCAGAGCAATGAGACATTTTGTTGGTCTATTCTGACAATTTCTTTGTATCAGCTGGTGTTGCATATATTATAATCGCTCGCTTCTCCAAGTGAAAGCATAATATAAATCAACTAATAAACTAAAATTAACTATTGCAGATCATTATATGAACATTCAGGTAAGTTTATGACAATTATTCTTTTTT